TTTCTTCAAGCACTGCAACTTAGCTTTGCAATGCTCTCAAAACTTCCCAAACTCTCACCTTTGAATTCCTACCTGATTCCTCCTCTCCAACCTTACTGACTAGCAAATATACATGAATGATGTAAAACACAAATAAAATCTGTTTCATCCACATATAAAAAATTACCACCTTCATACTGCCTCCCAGATTTCTCTATTATCCTACGATGTCCTCTTCCACCTGCTGACTGGCAGACAGTCAATTTTTCAGACAGACACTTTATGTGCTTGAAAGTACTTAAGCATTACAAGAACTGGTAATGCCTCCAGATAACCTGCAGCATAATAAATATTCACCTGGGGTGAGAGTCAGTCCAGTTCAAGTTATGTTATTTTATTCATTATAGCTGACTTGAAGCAGTTACGTGAATCCAGACATCACAGGCAGGTATGCAATCACTACTGTATTGTGAGAAATTTCTCTCAACTCTGCTTTCTTTTCATCTGAATCAAAAGTGAAACATCCACTGGGCCACAGAAAGCTACTTTCTAGCTCAGCAATGCAGACCACTTACCTGTAGCGTGGATTCATGCATCTCTTCCAAAAACATTACATTAATAGCAGCAGTATTCAGACACTCACACGCTAACTAAGCAAACATGTCGAAGGTGCTTTTTTCCTAGCTCTGCTCTGTGTACACATAGAGGAAATGGTTCCACTAGCAAGAATGATGTTTTTAAGCCTATTTGGAGATTCCAGTGTTGGGACCTCCAGAGCTCTCACCTGAGGTATTTCTTTTCCCATTGCTTTAGGGTTGGGGCTGTATCTGAAGGAAGGAGGAGGCATAGAGTGGATGAAATACAGATGCCAAAAAGGGGCATGTAGCAGCTGGACAGAAACTGAGGGGCCTGCGCACCTGGGAGGCATAGAAGTGCCTTAGGAGATTTGAGTCTTTGATTCAGTAAACTTCACCAGACTTCAGCAGCAAGCAGCCACTGGTCTCCCTTGCTATACACCATGTTCCCCTTGGCAGAAACTACTAAAATAATGGCAGAACTTTCTTGTTTAAGCAACTGGCAACTCTCCTGTAATTTGCTTACATGAATACTGATGACTCAATGGTTTTAAAATTTCAGAAGCTCTAATTAGTACTGTATATGCTTTGCTCACTAATAAACTTCCTGTCCAGGAACATCCATGAAAGAGTTACAATTTCTTGATATTTTTTTAAATTTATTTTTAAACATGAGAGTTGACGTATTGATATTTGTTCCATTCCTATCACATACACAAAACCCAATAACTTATATAGGCAGAAGTTTTCTAGAGAATGCAACGGTTTTGGGTAGAAATAGGAATACCCTCCTTTTCTTTTTTTAAAGCAACAAAGACAATATCTACAAATCACCTCAAGCTCAACAACTGAATAGTTTTTTTCATTAAATCCAGATTTGATTTGCACAATAAATTCTCAAAGCACTATTACGTCCCATTGTGAAATAAATTACACAAGGAACAACAAAAACACTACCTAATGATATATTAGCAGAAGATAGATTGAAAAATTGCTAAGAAAAAACCCTATAGTACAGGAGTTCGATCCAAATTAAGTACCTGTGCAGCTGAGGATGTGTGTGTGCTTAAGTGCTTTACTGAGTCAGAGCCAGGGCATTCATTAATTTGCTGAATTATGCTGCAAGAGATGGATAATGCTGCAGGAGTAGGAGATGGATGTTTCCAGGAAATAAATTACTTAACATTCACATTGATGCTATAGCCTTAAACACAGCGTATAGAGAGTGGAAGAAAAAGCACAGATCAGAAATACAGATACGTTGGCAAGAATATTAGAAGAATCACCAAATGGTTGAGTTTGGAAGGGACCTCTGGAGGTCATCTGCTCCAACCCCCCTGCTCATGCATGGCCACCTACAGCTGGTTGCCCAGGACCGTGTCCAGATGGCTTCCCAGTATCTCTAAGGATGGAGACTCCGTGACCTCTCTGGGCAGCCTGTCCCAGTGCTTGGTCACCCTCACAGTAAAAAAGCTTTTCCTGATGTTCAGCGGGAGCCTCCTGTATTGCAGTTTGTGCACATTGACTCTGGTCCTGTCACTGGGCAGCAGTGGAAACAGCCTGGCTCCATCCTCTTTGCACCCTCTCTTCAGGTATTTGTATACCTTGGTAAGATCCCCCTGAGCCTTCTCTTCTCCAGGCTGAACAGCCCTGGCTCTCTCAGCCTTTCTTCACAGGAGAGATGTTTCAGCCCCTTCATCATCTTAGTGGCCCTTTGTTGGACTCTCTCCAGGATCCCCATGTCTCTCTTGTACTGGGGAGCCCAGAACTGGACGCAGCACTCCCGGAGTGGCCTCACCAGTGCCGAGTAGAGGGGAAGGATCACCTCCCTCCACCTGCTGGCAACACAGTCCTAATGCAGCCCAGGGTATCAGTAACCTTCCTTTGTGGGAAGAGCACATGGGCATGTGGTAGATAGGCTTGAGGTACAACTGCCTTTCAAGAAAATATTTGAGATGGATGTTGTATATCTCCCCATCTCCAACAGAAATCATAGAAGTAATTTAATTTTAAATAAATCAGCTATTATAAATTTAACTTTGTGGAATTTTGTGCAAGATATTTAAGCCACCAGTAGAGAAGTATTCTACATATTTAATACCTATTGAGACAGCTTTCATACAGCAATGTGCTGGTCTCTTCTGTCCTCTTTTACATCATTCAGAGTTACAGTCCTCATCATAGTGACACATAGTGACTATTCAAAGTAAATGACTTCTTTATCTTCCAAGAAAGAAGTCAGAACAGCCCTTCCCAGAACATCTATTCTAGTGCATATGTCCTTTCATACAACCAGACCACGTCACGCCATGGCTAAAAGAACAGATACTTCACTCTTCCTATCATCAACTTGAACGTTATTTATTGGTAAAGCCTCCAGTGGTTTCAAGGAATACCATCTCTGTCAGTTCAAATATTTTGAAAATTGCTGAAGTGCCAATTTTCTGTTTGAGACATCACTTTTTCCATATTTGTTTCCATATGCACACACATGACTGTGAATTTGTACTTCTCTCCGAAGTCCTACTAAAATTCCCATTTTTAAGTTCTGACGACCAATGCTGCTGTGGGCAGAAGAAAAATTCTCTGCTTCCTTTCTTTTAAATGAGTTTTCAGTTCTAGAAAGTTTAGTATTATGACCAATTACATAAATCTAATAGTAGAAGAAAATACTGGATGAAGAAACATGATCTTATTGAACACCTTTGCTATCTAAATGCACTAAAATCTTGGTTGTTAGAGACTCCAGCATGACACGATGGCAATAGTAGCTCATTCTGCAGCATTAAATACTTCTGTATATTAAGATGGGGATGGAAAGGGCAATGACAATGACTGAGAAGATCTTTGTGGGAAGAGATTTAAAGTAATCAGGAATGAGTCACAACTGAAATGGAGAAATACATCAATGCTCGGAAGTCCTCTTTTACAGGGGCACAAACAAAAGCGTCTGTAATACAAAACTGTATAGGCATCATTAGAAAATACACAGGCCTTTAAAGAGAACTAAGACAAAACTCAGTATGATTTCAAAAGTCCAATATTTATATGGACTAAGAAAATCTCCAAATTAGCTAGAGAAGAATACCTGACAGAATCTCTGTGTAAAACACAGATTGATAGCTTGTATTCATTTTCAGAATCTTGCATGACTGTGGGCACCAACAGAAACCTATGTTTTCCTCCTTCAAATCATATTATAACAAAGCCCAAGATAACTCCACACCATATCCCTAATATTGTTGCTATTCTTTCCCTGTTGAAGCGTACTAAAAAAAACTGGAGAATGAAGAAAGAAAGAAAACTTACCTGTTAGCACTGATCCTAAATCAATAATCATGTAATTAATGATAGAAGTGCCAATATTCCATCATCTCTGAATTCTTTTACAGGTGGGTGAGATGATAAAGTTGGTAATGATACACTGAGGCATGTTAGAAATTCAGGTATCCAAAAAATTCTCCTCCATCTGGAATGTGCTTTTTAATAACAAAGAACCCAGAAGTTTCCAACCATCAATTCTGAATTAGATGCAAACAGTAGATGTGCAAACACAGCCACAGTACTGGCCTGAACTATGTGCAGAGGTCAGCAGCATGCCACCTAAATATTCGCACATTTAATAATTTTAAACTCTTGGATAGGCTTATTATCGTCAATAAGTGACTCATATTTATGAACGTAAGGGCATGCACATAAGCAGTTTCAGAATCAAAAGTCCACTTTTAAAGAAAGTTAAAGAGCAGTAATTTTGCTAGACCTCGAACACAAGACCTTCTTGCGCAAGCATCAGATTACAAACTGAATTTAAAAAGGGAACGCAGCAGCTCAATACAGGTGCCAGATATTTTTCTTTCTACCTTTTGCATGAGAGATTTCTCTCATACCATCCGTTTTCACAATCTTTGACACTCAATGGGTTCACACTCATTCAGGGGGGAAGTATCATTCTGCCTTTTAAAGTGTATCCTGACTCTTAATCCAACTTCTTATCTGCCTGCTAATCTTATCTTAATTTCTGTCATTCTGGCTTCAGATATCAGCTTGTTATTCCCTGAGTCTACATTACAGCAGTATCTCTTCATCCACATTAGAATTCCTATTAAAGCTATAGTTAGCACACAATCTAGCCAACTAAACAAATTAAACCGAAACCTTAATATTATGCTAAATTACATGTAAGTCTTCCTGCCAATTTTTCAGACGAACTTCTTCCCTGTTGCTCTGTACACATAAGAAAAATTGGATGGGAAATCTCGAAAATATGCACAAAGTAAGCTTCAGAAGAGAAGTCTGTTCCACAACAACAGGTTAAAAGAAATTGGAGAAATTTATTTTCCTACTTTACAGTGTCCCTTTAAACAGAGTTTAGAATACATATACACACAATAATCTGCCAATGCTTAACATAAGCCAATTTTGCATAATAATTGCTTTCATACTTACCATTTTTTTCAGCTTTCTCCCTGCTATGGGAGTAGCCAGGAACTGAAGAAGAAAAAGTTGCAGTATCTCCTGAAGATGGCCCAGATTTCTGATTATTCTCACTATGGTCCACAGCAGCAGCATTTAGCTGGGATCTTCCAAGATGCAGCTGGGGGTGAGAAGGACTTGAGGACGGATCAGGATCTGAATTCATTTTAGCTGCAAAAGAAGAGAATAATGATTAATTATCAGATAGTAGGGTTACAACATAAAACCAGAGTAAAAATTTTAAATCTGAATATATTTATATAATTAATTGAACAAAAAGCCTAGAAAAGGGCAAGAAGACTGACAGCAACTTCAAGATGTATTTATACATTCTTCAATAATTCCAAGCATGAGCAGCTATTGTTGAATAAGACTGACCATATATAGCATTGTGCCAGAATAGCAACTGCCTTTTTTCCTAACTAAATAAGAATTGATTTTCAAATGTAGATAAACGCTATAACTAATGAATCAATCCTGTAAATACTGCATATAAACAACTTCTTTGAATCTAATGTTTTTATGGAATCTGACTTTTTATGGAACAGTATTGACATGTCTGTAATGACAGAAAAATTCACTTCATATCAAGCGCCTGGTTCACAGCCACCACCTAATCAGGTGACAGAGAAAGACAAAAATAAGGAGGCAAAAGAGGAGAAGGTGTAGAACTCTGCCACTGGAAATGAAAAGAGGGATACCACCAAAGATGCTGTTTATAAACACTCCCCATTGAAATACACACGATCCAAAATAAGCTGACTTTACTTACTACTAAACTACTATCCAATTTTATAAAAAATAGTATTTGTACAAAAAAACCCACTAAGGCAGGGAGGGAAAGGCCTACAAGAGAAGGCCTTTTAACTTCCACTGTAAGCCCTCTCCTAACGATGAGGGGATTGCTGTTGTATAGTAAAAAGTTCCTTAAATCAGTAAACTTTTATGAAAGTGCTTACTGAAAGCTTACCTTTTAGGAGACAGAAGTAGCAAGGTGTGCACATACCACCCCTGTGCAACACACAGTAACTCTTGCTGCTTAAGAGCAACTTCCCTCAAGTTAAGCAATTCACAAGGAACACTGTAGACAGCGTCTGGCTACAAACTATATTTTTTAATTTCGTACGCTCAGAATACTGACCTAACGACATCCTTATAAAGATGAAAGCAGAACAGTCAAAATCAAAGATACAAATACCTAACTCAGCCAACAACTACATCTACTTACGGGACACTAAAATCACAACAGGATGCGAAAGGTACCAGCAATATTACCGTCATTAAACGTATTATTTGCAATTTAGACAACTGGCTTGCCAAAATTAAGCTTCCCTAAACCAGAACATGCGTTACTGATACAAGTAAATGCATTTCTGTATTATGTTTCTACATCGTTATAAACAAGCCAACACGGTTCAGTCCAACCTCCAAAGAGTCCTAGGAAAACACAGAGATTAAAATACTTTCCCAGTAAAGCTGCACGAGTATTTTTAACCATTATACGATCGCAAAAGTTACTTTGCACCTGGTTTTGAACTTGACCTTAGCGCCGCGAAGGAGCCGAGCGAGAGCGAGACCGA